AAATAAGTAGCGCTATTGTGAAGCACTATATTACCAGGAAGCCTCCAGTTGTACAGTTCACATTATAGTTTCAAGGTCCTAAGAAGCGTTTATGTACACGTACACAAACAAAATGTAGAAATATATTGTCTAGATGCTGCATACATTGCAGCAGTTCAGTTCATACAAAGTTCATTTGTCTATTATGGTCATAGGAGACTTGTGAATGCGTTACCCTCCCATGTTTTACCATTAGACTGGTTTAAGCCTGTGCACGGCAGTTTTACCATTCATGCTTGGACACTGAAGTGTATGCATGCACTTTTACAGTAGATGTTAATTTTGTCTATTGTAACAAAATACAAATTAGATATTATTATGCAAATTAGCTGTCATGTTTGCTCATTTACCTGTCTTATAGACAGTTTGTCAGTCACACCTTTAAATCTTTTGACTTGTATACCATATGGGAAACAACAAGCGTTATAATAGTCAGTGAACATGTGTCTTTTGATCAGTTCGTCATATTTATTTTCTGTCTACTTGAATGTATTGAAAAATGAGCATTTTGAACTAATTTAATGAGTTTTATGTTCTGCGTGAATCAGCCATTATTGAAGACACTCAGACTCTGGTTTAAATAAAATTCCTTTTTTGGGTTTGAATGTAACACAAGCATCATCAGGGATAAAGGATTTAAAAAAACATTAAATAAGTGAAAACCATAACACAATTCATATTTTCACAGATACATTTATTTTGTGTAATCATCAAGATATATTTGCATAATTCATGGTGAATCAGTAAGGTTATAAAATGACTTGTTCTTTTTGACACTGAAGCATGTCCCGGTATATATGTTATGTCCTATAAGAACATTGTGGTAGTCAATTAATGCACATCCAATGAACAGTTCACCCACAAGAAAGTAGTAGGCTGCTAAGGCCATGCCCACCTAAGTTCAACATTGTTCATATTCAATTTATAGCATTGCTTAAGGTCAGATGACCCCCACCCCCCTCCAATGTCACAATATTAATTTGTTTGGTTTTTACACTGTACCCAACTAATGTACAGTTCAATTGAAAACTGGGGATGGGGTTTAGTCTTTTTAGTGAAATTGTGAACAAAAATAGCACAACAATGTGATAGAAAATATTAAAAACAAATATTAGCAAGTGTACATGTATTATATTTTACACCAATTGGTATTTGACACAAGACCCATATTGAACTTGACAATGTGCGATGTATTTTTAAATATTAAAAATCAACATTATAGCATGTTTAGTCAAAATGACAACACTGCACTGTAGGTCAAGGAAATGTTTACACACAGATAATTGTCTGTACATGTCAAAATACATCAGTCTGTAGATAGTCATAATAAACAAATAAAATCATTACAAGTTGATTCAAATTCACAAAACTGCTTTTTCAGTTCTAATATGTAGGGTGGGGGCAAACTGAATAATATTCTAGATCCATTTTTAGCTCCGCTGTCGACTTTGTCGAGCGGAGCTTATCATATGTGTGATTGTCCGTCGTCGTCAGTGTCAATGTTTTACTTTTTCGACTTCTTCTTGAAAACTACAAGCCTGAATGCTTTGATACTTGGTGTATATGTACCTTGGGTAGACTTCTCTTAGGTTTGTTCATTTCATGTTGATATCTTCAATTCTCTAATTTTAGTGAATATTTTTGTCATTTTTGGTAAAAAGTGATATTTTCGACTTCTTGTTAAAAACCGCAAGTGCAATTGCTTTGATATTACATATATAGGTACTACATGTGGACCTCTCTCAGATTTGTTCATTTTGTAATGATATCTTTAATTCTCTAATTTTGGTGAATATTTTTGTCATTTTTGGTCAAAAGTGATATTTTCGACTTCTTGTTAAAAACCAAAAGTTCAATTGCTTTGATATTACATATATAGATACTACATGTAGACCTTTCTCAGATTTGTTCATTTCGTGATGATATCTTTAATTTTCTAATTTTGGTGAATATTTGTCACTTTTGGTAAAAAGTGATATTTTCGACTTCTTGTTAAAAACTGTAAGTCCGATTGCTTTGATACTATACATATTGTTCATTTTCTAATGATGTCTTCAGTTCTTTAATTGAAATGTGCATAGCTAACAGCGGAGCTATCTCAGCTGATAGGCTGCTTGTTAAATTCTATTTTATTATCTGTCAATCTGATACAGCTGCCAGTGTACACACTTCTTCTTTCCCCCTTTATTTTTTTTCTCTTGCATCTCCCACAGAGAATAAAGATTAATAAACAAGTAATGGAAAATATAATGTTGAACTTGCCCAATACTATAGTAGTACACAACAATTCAATAAATCTAATTGATCAATTGCAAATGTCACTGCCTGTACTGTTACACTAGAAAATTATTCCATTTCTTCCAAAAAAAATGTACACACTTCTAACTAAATGTACTTGTACACTGACATCCAAGCATTGTTTTTGTGTCAGAGTTTGGTTGATTCAATTCAGACAGTCCTCACTCACATGTGTAATATTTGACTTTCCATAGCTTACAAAACAAGTAAATTATTTGGATCAGGCAGCGCAGAAACTGGCGATATTATAAACATTTTATCTAAAGAGAATGTGACATTTAATGCTCATTTTTATGGAATTACACCAAAGGTAAGACTGCTTTTATTTTTAACAAGGTTTCATCCAATCCCATATGATAGTACATTGATGCACATCCACTGAATATCCAGAGACAAATGCAAGCGAACGAGTCTGAAAGAAATAATGAGCATTTGTCTCAAGTTATTTATTTATTCTTAATGTATAAAATGGAGGTTTATTTAAAATAGAATCTGATACAAACTTCAATGAAGGTCCGTCAAACACAATTTCACCCTATCAGTACTATTATTTGTAATTTACTGGAATAAAGCCAATCCATCTCGTTTTCCTGAAAGACAGCACAGTTAATAGGAGCCACCAAAAGAGGGCATGGTGAACGATGAGCCAATCATATAAAAGGCTGTTGTACTTTGCAAAATCTGGTCATTTCTACGTGAAGATAAAATATAAATGGTGTTATTGTTATTAAATATACATGTATTTGTTGCTGTTGATAAAACAACTTACAGGCAATGTTGTCGTAGCAGATCAGTGAGAGAGACATTTGCATGCTGGTTGGCAAAAATAGAAAAAAATTACCATGCCTGCTACAGAACAAAACTTTTTACTAAATGGAACAAGGAGCGTTGACAACGATGTTCTGCCTGGAAGCAATTTGAGTAAACTTTTGCTTCAATAGCCAATCAATATTGACAGTTAACAATTCTATCATTGTAGACATTCAACAACAATACAAAGCTGAGAACATTCTACCGAATGCTGACTACAAACTATGACGACAATGGCAAGGAATTTGTGTCCATGATAGAAGGTAGGTTTCTTTTTTGAACACCATTATTTCCCAAAAAAATGTACAAAATTCTTCCTGAAAAATTATTTAATATCTATTTTGTGAAAGATGACCCAAGTTGACCAAAGTTCAGAGGAAGGAATAATTTGATGTGTCAATAAGAGTACAGATTCTTCAGTATTTGCAACTCCTACCTGACGTTTCCAGCTGTTCCTCTTTGTTACCACGGTACTTGGACCACCATTCAAGGGGCAAAACATGTCCTGTGGTGGCTCTCTCGCACTCAAAGATATCGCAGGGCCATTTGCAAGATGCAACAATTATGTGAAGGCAATTTAATATCACAATTTGTTGCCTGCCATGACCAGCAGCCTGAGGGCAGACAACAAATCATGAGATTGCCCAAATGAGCATGTGTTATTTATTTTTTCACATTGAACAGGTACCATGCACAAATACACCTAACATACCGATACATCTCTCACATCTGCTCTCCCACAAAATAACAACACTTATATTCGAAGTATTACAAGTGGCAGGCAGTTAAAGTATCTTCTATATCCATTTTGGCACATTCACTGTCTAGTTAAGATGGTTAAAGTTTCTTCAAAATCCTTGAAAGCAACAGTGGCGAGGACCAGGGGGGGAGTTGCATGACACGATTGGTTGAAATAATAGTCTCATTTGCATAAATTAATATTCATGAGCAAAATTGTGCCAAAATGCTTTCCGATAGCATACATGTTAGTTCTAAGTTGACTGATACCATCGTTACGAGCTAAAAAAAATAATCGGAAAAATGATGTAAAAGTATTTTTTGAGACATGTTTTCGATCAGACTCCAGCTAACTGTTGAAAGTAAGCACAAGTTTTCTCATTACCATGATCATAGCAAGTTATGAAATTCATGGAGAATGCAGAGGCACGTTTATATTTCACTCTAGTACTATTGCTCAAAATGTTTTCGATGACTTATTAGTGACAAGTTACCTAATTAGTATGCATTTCGAGAAAACACAGTGTGTGTGCATGCGCAGTTTGAAATGGAACAGATTTGAACGCAATAAAATCACGCGTAGAACTCGGGCTCCAGCAAGAAATTGTGGCGTCAAACTGGTTGTCGGTTGAATAGTTTTGCAGTAGACATAATTTTGGGGCCTGTATTTGTCTATGAAATGTTTCTAAGTTTTGTTGTGGATTATTCTGTAAAGAAATTGCTGAAATTATTTCATCTGTTCGTAAACGGGACGTTGTTGCTTTGACGATGAGCTACGGGCGACTGACGTCAAAACGTTCCATTCAGATCAGATGGCGCCCTCTCGTGCCAATCCCCCCCTGGCCAGGACAGTAGTTTCAGTGACATATCATGTAATATCCACTTTTATTCATGTGACTGAGTTTCAACCAATCACAGCATGCATAACAGAAATAAAAATGCAACACATTAGGAGGCAGGAAGCACTTCATGAGATTTGAAAACAGATTAAGGTGACTTTAGATATCAATCTTTTTACAGCATTTAAGTATCCTTTCTATGGAGCTCAGTGGCACCCGGAAAAGAACAATTTTGAATTTGTTGCAAAGCTTGGGCCAAATTTACACCATTCCGCAGATGCCATCAAAGTAACTCTGTACATGGCACAGTTCTTTGTTAATGAAGGTACGTATTTGTAGAATGTTGCTTCGAAATTATAGCGTCGTTAATAAACATGGAATACAGTTGTACATACAAATGTAAATTCATCTTGGAGGGGGCTGAATTAATTGACTAAACTTGTTAGTACCTGGGTATGTCTATTTTGCTATTACCCCGGTAGTAGTGTGTCTACGTAATAAACAAAATGCCATTTTTCGTGTGCTTCTACTAGAGCAAATATGGTATATTTTTTTCTTAAATGTACTGCATATAATTTTTTTTATTTTTTTTTTCAGCTCGAAAGAGTTCACACAAATTTAAAAATGCCACAGAGGAAGCAGCTGCTCTCATTTACAACTTTCCTGTAGTTTATACTGCAGGAAACACCAGTTATGAACAGTGCTATTTTTTTTAAGTAGAAATGGGTAAATACTTTAAAACTCTGGGTGAAAAGTGTATATATACTTGACTGACTGGCTGATGTAAAAATAAAAAATGAATTTTTGACCTGCAAAGAAATTTAATTATTATTAATTGAGAAATGTGTCTGTACTGTTATGACTAATACTGATAATCTAATATTCACATAAAACAGCAATGCTTTGGTGGTTTCTAAAGGATTTTACTATTTTTGTAACATTTTAATATATATATATATAAACTTGGTAAATAAATTGGTTGTGTGTGAAATGTTTTAGCTTATGGGATGCTTCATACTTATTTATACTAGCACAATAGATCCAAGATCTTGTTCAGAGGGGACCCTCCCCCCACAGGTCAGCGGATATAAGCTCTCAGAAAACACATGTATCTACAGTGTAAGCCAGTGAATATACCGGTACTCAAAATATGGTTTTACAGTAGATTCTTTTAGGAGAGCATATTTAAGTGCACCCTATTTGGCAATTCAACATCCAACCATTGCAATATGCTAGAGCAACTTTGGTTACATGTTTAAGAGGTTCTTCCAATCAGATCATTGTATTTTACCCAGGGCAAATGTGATACCACTTGGCAATTTCATAATTATTTTTTGCTTAAATCATTGTCCGATGTGATACCACAACTGGTCGATTTTGCAGCATATCCATGATTCTTTGTGTCAGGTTACACGAACGTTGTAGTTGCATAGAGCAAATCGGGTAAAAAGCTGCCAGCTTACAAGTCATGCTACTCATCACCACAAAGACATGTTGACAACTACCAGTTGTGGTAATTTTGCGTCAATACTAACTCATTCTAAAGGATTTATCATAAATAACAATAAAATTGCCATGACTAGGCCAGTCCAGTCCAGGTAGAATCATGTACAGGTTCATGGAATGAGAGTTGTTTTAGATTTACATCAAGTTCACAAAACTGGGATTAGAATTATATGTTTGTGTACATTCTGATTGCCTACACAGCAAATAACCACATACTGGTTCCTCCAATGAATAGAATGGTATCTTATGATTATTAGTACTAGCAGTGATGTAAGGATCTTATGATTATTAGTACTAGCAGTGATGTAAGGATAGTTTCTGTTTTTATTCATTGTTCATGAGGTTTTAATTTTGTTATTTCTGTTGATATTAAGTCAAATCTTCATGAACATGTAAAGTAACAACATAACTCATCGTTTTCTTGGCAAATTCGTAAACTCAAAAGCCAGTGAATATACTCAAAATATCAAGTTGAAATCCAGTGAAAATAAATGTTTTTACAGTCTTCAGAAGTCGAGCAAACTATGGAAGAATAAACAGCGCCCTCACAGGTAACCAGATGGAATGGAAATTCAATTGTTGGAAATATTCAACTTTTAATTTCTGTCTTTACGATACAATAATATACATGTACTATTTTGCAACCTGAATTGACTTCAGCTGGGCACAGAGGGCGGTATAAAAGTAATGTTATTGACAACCTTCTCAATTCTCGGGGGCAGACATCCTGGCAACCATCACGGTGAAAAACGGTACTTTGGGATGGTTGTTGAGACTCCTCTGAACAGTGTAACGCGATTAGCCAAGATTACTTCAAAGTTGATTTTGTGCTGTTTTCTCGAATTTAGCCGCTTTCACCGGCTCGCGCAGAGTCCATAGAAATTATGGTAGAATGGCTTGTGACGTAGCTCTGCCCTGAGGATGATATTCCCGATATTTCAGTACAAGTAATATGAATCTCGTTTCCATAGAGGGCGGTATACAATTTACATGACAGTCTTCCCTCTATCTCAGTAGTATGAATCTTGTTGCCATAGAGGGCAGTATACAATTCACATTTCTCTATATTCCTTCTATTTCAGTTCCTTCATGTAGTATGGCCCTTGACAGATTCCTTGCCAACGCTAATCGTAACAAGTCTATCTTCTCTTGATCCGCCTCTCTCTGACCCTGGGAAATACAAAAACACTAACCTAAGACTACCATCTTTCAAACAGAATCGCCGGTCACACACATTTTTTTACAGCTCATGTGCCCGACAGGTAATCACAGGTAGATATTCAATAAATAGTTACCACATATTCAGTTTTAATGACAAAGCGAAAATTGAAACTGAATAATATATAAAATACAAAATACAACATAAATCAAATGTCTTTTTGCAGACATTTTATAAACACTGCAAATGCAAAAAAAATCAAGTTCACTGAATTAGCTTTTTTAACTACCAGTAAACAAGTTTTGTCTAATCTACATGGCAACCTTGAACATAAGGTAAAATAAAATCAATTAAAACACTGTGATCTAACTTTCATGGGACATTCTCTGACCAATCAACACCACTGTCTGGGTTAAACTCGCAATTCCAAGCTCAATGGTCAACATAAGGTTCTTTGATATCAGTGGTCGGTTTTCAAACCTTGTCATAAATATTCATAAGTTCATTATGCAGTGTAACATCATCCACCTGTGACTGTCATATTGCTTTGAACGCCTAAACAGCAACAATGCCAGCTAAGTAATGTCTCAAGATCATTACATGTAACTCGTACTGGTGACAGCAGAATGTAAATGTTATGTGAACAATGGAAACAAGTCCCAAAACAGAATCAGTTGAACATGATATGCCAGTATTCCAGGTGCAGTTGACTCACGACTGCACACCACTTGTGCATTATCCTATACATATATACCTCCTGATAGGTGTATATTTGTATGATGCCACGGAACATTCATATATTTACCCAGCTGACAACATAGATCAAAGATTGGTGCATGTCTTACCTGTGTTCTTTGTTTGTCATCTTTATCCAAGTACTGTGTAGATTGGAATGATAGAGTGATTTCCTCCAGACAGTGCATCAAATCATATGTCTGATGAGAACTAAATACAACTTGATCACATTCTAGTAATGGTAAAGCATCCGTCAAAAGAGTTAACCAAAATCTAGGGGAAAAAAGTGTAAGTGTCCACCTCTATGTAAGACCACCTGTCTATAGTGACCACTTTTACTGCAATTAGAAAAGCTGGATCTCATTCTGAATGTCACTGCTCCAATACAGAGGCCAAGCTTCAGATTCCTCTATAATATATATCTTATTTCCACTCTAGCGTTCTTCAAACCAAATTATATGTGATGTACAAACACTAGTATTTTGAATAGAATAATGACAAAAAAAAACTTTTTTCATTGAACAGCTGATTGTAGATGACATGAAGTGACAAAGTTTCTCCCAACTTAAATACTTTTATGAGCTTACAATATGATGAATTTTAACAGATTTTAATTCCAACACATTCCTAACAAATAATATTTGAGGGCTTACATGAAAAAGCTAATTTTCTAATGTAAAATAAGTTGTTTATATTTGTTATGCATAGCAGAATGAAGTTTATGCTGGCAAAAAAAAATCCATGAACGTCACCTGTCAGTAAATCAGAACCCCAAATCAAATTAAATCAGGAAAATTTCACTGCTACAGAATTTTCTGATTATTTTAAGCAGTTTAAGTAAACCTTGCTATGCTGTAATTAAGCTAACAAATAAAGTATGTACACCATAATCATAATTTTTACAGCATGTATGAGGTACTTACTTCTGTGGTGCTAGTTTGGCAGATAACAATGACAGCAATAGATTGGCCGCTTCTCTGAATTCACCGTGCTCATACATCTTATGAAATTCTCTGTATTTACCTGGAAGTTATCAGAATCAAAATGGTTTAACAAACCAATTTGAACAACCTCGCATTAATGGAGATATCATTGGAAGCCTTGAAAGATGTAAAGTGTTATACACCAAATGTAAAATATTTGAATCAGAACTTTCTGCCAATAGCCGAACATTTTTATAGATTCAGTTACTACGTTCACGCTACAGGATCTCGGCACGTGCCGAAATTTTTAATCTGTTGTGTTTGCAGAGAGATTACAGCAGTTGCGTTCACGTTATTCGGGACCCACTTACATGGAAAATGATATGCATATGATGATAATAATAATTGTTATAGTGAAATTATATCCATTTGTTGCTATGGTCTTTATTACGAGCCATCGTGCACATGAACGGCAAAGAAGATTCGAAACATAAATATGCACCACTGACGACGGTTTGCATTCATTCCATTAATTACTATAGCATCCGACCATATACTAGTACAGTATATCTTAATTTCCTGTCATTTCATACTCGTATGAATCAACTTATGTTTTTCTTAAATTTACCACCGAGGGCGTGATATCGACTCGTGTCGGGCGTTCAGACAGCAAATCTCGGCACGTCCCGAGTTTTGGTCCCAAGCATCTATCGGGACCGAGATAGAGTTCTTTTCGGCACTTGCCGACTCGGTCCCGACTGTTCATATTTAAGTTTCGGCACGTGCCGACTCAGTCCCAAGTCTCGGCACGTGCTGAGATCTCTAACGTGAACGCCCCTTTTATGAATAAGATACTAAATCACTTTATCACAAAATCAAACATCTCCAGTAAACCAACAATTTGTCTTGGTCATTATGTATAGGAATACAAGCACTGGCATCTTTTATATTGAAGTATCATAGTCGTCATTTGGTGCCCATTTGAATTTCATGTGGACAAACAATTTTACATAGATTGCATGAGACCCACACCCATACACGTATACATAGTGGTAAAACTGCAATGCTCTCAAATTTTAATAAATTGAAGTATTATTGTGGAAGTATGTGTGAGGTTCAAAATCGGTACTCTGCACCATCGGAATGCGTCGGCGCATTTCCTGAATTAAGCATTGTGCGCCATCTACTTGCGCCACCATTCTGCGCCCCTCATTCTGCAAAAATGAGAAAATTTATACTGTGCCCTATTCTGGGCTCAAAATTAAGTTACAGCAATGATTTTCAATCCTGTTTATCAAAGCAATCAGGATGGTTTTATGTGAAATACTGTTATAACATTTTGTAAAGGCTTCGACAAGCACAAAACTATTGGAAACAAACAAATCATTCTGCTCTCTTCATTTGCGTACAAACTATTTTTGTATTCAAGGACTCAATCTAGGTCAATTGTAACAAAGTTTAAACAATGTTTTCATTCTTGATCTATTAATTTTAGTCCTTTTTTATTGAAATTGCCCGCTAGTTAGGCTGTCACTCTGCGCCATTGAAAAGCAATGCAATGTTGTTTTATATGACGCAATCTAGGTCTACTCTTGCGTAGTTGAAACAATGTTTCATTTCATTGTACTCGTTCCACAGGACACTTCTTTTGTATTTCATCATGAGATTTTATGAAGTTTCGATGCCAACAAAATCCAACTTCACACTTGCGTGTCTTTGCACTGTCTAGTATTTTACAAAAACAGACGTGCTCATAGCTTCACACACACAACTGTAATTCACACGGCTTCATAGACACGCGATGAACAAAACGAGCAAAATTAAAATTCTCAAGACAGTAAATGTAATTACTTTGTCAGTTATTGATGTTGGTTTGCTTGGGAAGCCACAAACAAAATTGTAGCTGCCTAGTTTGCTACAATAAACATTGTTTTAAAACACTCACCCAGACTTCAAGTCTTGATAGCAAGAGTATTATTTGCGTTAAAAAAATTATTTCTTGATTTATGGAATGTACCCATAACTTTCAAATGCAGAAGTCGAAATAACATTGAATGTCATGTAAGTTGGTTTATTTTGCAGCGCAACCTCACTAGTATCTACAAAAATAAACAACCCAAGTTTAATTTGTGCGTAAAAGTTTCAATGACAATGCAATGTTTATTCACCACCACTGGCAATGCATCTCTTTTGTTTGAATGACTGCGAAAAATTCAAATAATAAACAGTGTATAGATCCACAGTTACTAGTAACCGTGATAGATCAGATTTTTTTTCCGTACTGGCTATTCGGATAATGACAACTAACGTATATAATTAATGTAATTATTATTTATGATGACTAAACTCATACTATTTTCAACGTTAGTGTTTGTTAGTTGGGCCAATCAGTGTCCAAAAGTTGTGGTTACAAAATTTTTGAACTGTCTGAAAATCACCCAGGACCGGAAATGGCTGCGCCGACTTGTTTTGGGTCAGCATTATCAAAGCCGGAAACAGAAAGTCAGTAGAAGACAAATAATTTTGTTTTCGTTAGCGTTGTGAAAGTTGGTTAGCGTGAGGGAAAACAAAGGTGTTAATCCGAAAATTCATTGTCTATTCTTGTTTGTGTTTGGTCCAGGCAGCATTTGGATCGTCTTTAATCGTCTAGCTCTGTGTTTGAGAATATGTTATGCTCGTTTTCGAGAAAATAAAACATCTGTTGATCAAATTATCGTATATTTTTTATACTATTTAAAAGAACATTTGAGTGTTTTAGTTTCACAAATATCCTTAAAAAAACAAAAACGTTTTTCCGATAATTTCGAACTGTCTGGAAATCACCCAAGACTGCAAATGGTTGAATGCTTGCCTACAAAGAACGAAATTACCGTATTTTTTTGTTTGTTGAATTGTGCTATTTTCAAGAAAGTTGGCATGTTTTAGTTTGGCAAATTAATTTACGAAAGTTGTTTTTTTTCGAAATGTCTGAAAATTGTTCTGTAAGTGCGTCTTTGGTGTCATATGTTAATCATCTCACCACTGCGTGAATTATGATTTTTGATTGGCCAAATACCTTTCGGCGAGAAAAAATGTTCTGTAATCTGCAAACACGCATTTTTAGCACCACGAATTTGATGACGCTCAAACTATTGCGAAATAAAAACAGAATTTTATCAGGGCCACTAAATCCTAAACAAGATAAACTGTACCATGACAGAATGATTGGGTGAGTGTGTAAACAGTGTATTTTTCCCGAGACAGTCGCGAGACACTGTTTACAAAACACTACGATGTGGTGCATGTAACGGCCGTCAACACATTTTTGTCTCAAAATTGTCGTTTCTTTCTCGTTTTTACGATTCAACCACTCAAATCATATCCCAGATAATGAACTCTCAAAATATATGACTCAATGTTACGTTACCCCTTTGGAAACGAACAATTTTGTCGTTTTCATCTGCCGATCACTTTAATTTACTTCTTTCCAATAGCTTCGTACTTATTTCCCAGAAATGTTATACAACTGTATTTCACTGGAAACACCCCAATTGCATTGATACACAGGCTTGAAAATCATTGCCGTCTACGAGTCTATAATTTTACATTTTTAAAAAGCTGGAACTCAGAATAGGGCACAGTATGAATTTTCTTGATGGCGCAGAATGAGGGGCGCAGAATGGTGGCGCACAATGTTTATTTTGAGAAATGCGTTGGCGCATTCCGGTACCGATTTTGATCCCCTCACATACCTCTATTGTGTGAATACACATGTTGATTTTAGTTCTTTCCGGGACACAAAATAGTATTTTATTGCTTTGTTTATCCTATCGCATAGACGTGAGCTCACGCTTTCATCAGACATAAAATACGACATAGTGAAACCATAATTCAGTGATTAACAGGATTAAAACTTACCAAGGAATGTGAGTCTATCACTGAGGAGCATAGCTGGCCCTAGATTATCTATGAGATCCAGATTTGAAAATCCACCTCTGCTACTGTACTCTGATAAGAACTTCTCTGATAGGAATGTAGCAAAGGCTCTATCTTTTGAACGTATACACCACGATAATGCCGTCCCCAATCGATCATTCTGTAATGCTTTCATACCCATCTCTTTACATATGCTATGAGCTGGAAGCAGAATGCATACTTTATTACTGGGGATACACTGATCCAGTCAGGAAATAAAGAGAGCAAAACATTAATTTGTCTAATAGCATATTTACCACAGGCATGTTTCATTCTGCATCTATATATTTCAAGAACATGTGATGACACTGCCTGCCAACCCTGTAAATCTCTAATTCATCATGTCCCTCTCTCCCCATCACATAAAGCACAATATACATATCACACAAACACTATTGGTGAGCAGTATAAACAAATTGTTAGGCCAGAAAAACAAAAGAAAATCTGTTGAAATTTAAAAATGATGCTTTTATTTTTAGAAAAAACAACAACAAAAAGTAAATAATGATGACCAAGACACTTTTCCCCTAATTCAGCCAAATGTAATGTATTTTTACCTTAAACAATTCGCAGGAACACAATTTTGAGACAGATAGTGGAAAAGAAATTACACCTTACCTTGCAGCTCCATGCCTCTTTTTTCACATGCTCTCAGTACTTTCAGAGCCTTTCTTTCAGTCTGTATAGGTATTCTTTCAATGTACAGTTCTAAATAATGTCTGGGTAGAAAACAACATTTTGTCATTACCGGTACTACATTTTTATTTTTGTTTATAATTTTAATGTTGCTTTTCAACTACCGGTACTGTCAATATACTATAGTATCTGAAAATCATGTACTAGTAGTGCATGTCTACGTAATTGAGCTAGTTTTCAAAGATATAAACCATTTTTCAGAATCAACTAGTCAGGGTCAGGCTGCAATTCAACAAACAAAAGGACATCGCATATATGCTGGGAGCATTCCAACAAATATGAAGCAAAATGTTATGCCATCTCTGTGTGATTTCTGTAAAAATAGAAATGATGCTCTCACCTTCCAACTTCTGGGCAATGATCTAGATAATCCATACCAATCTGCCACAAACTTTGGGGAGAATACAAATGTAGTTTAAAATACAATGGCATCACATTGCCCACACTGTAACGATTTTCACCAGTATAATACATTAAATTGCCATTTAATAGATTGATGGCACAGCCCTGTCATGTAGTCCCAAACATGAATATGTTCTTGTGGCATATTGCACTATGAGTCAGCAATTGAACTTGCAATTTAAATTTGAGACAACAGTGACATTCAATTTCCGACACTGTCACCTGGCACATAAAAAGAAAACAAGTCTGAAATATACACTATACTACCTTTCATGTGACATCAGACTTGTTGCATACTCCAGTAGTAAGAATTCTCTCAAATTGGAACCAAAACTAGAAGATGAATATAATCAGTTTGTTACAAACGCTCTCATTCTTCACATGGTTGAGAATATCGCAATGGATACATAATGGCTGTGCGGCGATATCGGAATAGATACATAATGTCTGTGCAGCGATATCGCAATGGATACATAATGGCTGTGAGGCAATATCGCAATGGATGCATAATGGCTGTGCAGCGATATCGCAATGAATACACAACGGCTGTGCGGCGATATCCCAATGGATACATAATGGCTGTGTGGCGATATCGCAATGAATACATAATGGCTGTGCGGCAATATCGCAATGGAAACATAATGGCTGTGCGGCGATATTGCAATGAATACATAATGGCTATGTGGCGATATTGCAATGGATACATAATGGCTGTGCAGCGATATCGTAATGGATACATAATGGCTGTGCGGCGATATCACAATGGATACATAATGGCTGTGTGGCGATATCACAATGGATACATAATGGCTGTGCGGCGATATCGCAATGAATACATAATGGCTGTACAGCAATACCTCAATGGATACATAATGGCTGTACAGCGATATCGTAATGGATACATAATGGCTGTGCGGTGATATCACAATGGGTACATAATGGCTGTGCAGCGATATCACAATGAATACATAATGGCTATGTGGCGATATCACAATGGATACATAATGGCTGTGCGGCGATATCGCAATGAATACATAATGGCTGTACAGCAATACCTCAATGGATACATAATGGCTGTACAGCGATATCGTAATGGATACATAATGGCTGTGCGGTGATATCACAATGGGTACATAATGGCTGTGCAGCGATATCACAATGAATACATAATGGCTATGTGGCAATATTGCAATGGATACATAATGGCTGTACAGCGATATCGCAATGGAAACATAATGGCTGTGCGGCGATATCGCAATGAATACATAATGGCTATGCGGCGATATCACAATGGATACATAATGGCTGTGCAGCGATATCGTAATGGATACATAATGGCTGTGCGGCGATATCACAATGGATACATAATGGCTGTGCGGCGATATCGCAATGAATACATAATGGCTATGTGGCAATATTGCAATGGATACATAATGGCTGTACAGCAATACCTCAATGGATACATAATGGCTGTACAGCGATATCGTAATGGATACATAATGGCTGTGCGGTGATATCACAATAGGTACATAATGGCTGTGCAGCGATATCACAATGAATACATAATGGCTATGTGGCAATGTTGCAATGGATACATAATGGCTGTACAGCGATATCGCAATGGATACATAATGGCTGTGCGGCGATATCGCAATGGATACATAATGGCTGTGCAGCGATATCACAATGGATACATAATGGCTGTGCAGCGATATCACAATGGGTACATAATGGCTGTGCGGCGATATCGCAATGAATACATAATGGCTATGTGGCGATATTGCAATGGATACATAATGGCTGTGCAGCGATATTGCAATGGATACATAATGGCTGTGTGGCGATATTGCAATGGAAACATAACGGCTGTACAGCAATACCTCAATGGATACATAATGGCTGTACAGCAATATCGCACTGGATGCATAATGGCTGTGCGGCGATAGTATCAACCATTGCACAGTGAAGATCAAGGGTCTACTGAAAGAAAAACTGGATTATATGCATACAGTGTATGTTTCTCATTAGCACTTGCCTTTGTACAAATTTTGAAACCAGTCAAACATGTACTAGAACTATGTTGAACAGACACATGCATGGACAGACACCCACAAAATGGGGACTTGGTCAGACTTTTTCTGACAGGGGCTAAAAAGACATTTTTGCAACTTTGTGTTACCAAGTCTGAGTGCCGTTAAAATCCTATTATAAACGGCATACCCAATAGTAACCGCACCCCCGATTTCAGCTTCAGTGTTAAAAAGTTCTCAACAAAAATTGAAAACATGAAAAGTACCTATTACTAACCGCACCCCCAATTCAACAAGACCGTGACCGACTTTGTTTCGACCAGCTGGTACATTGTTCC